AAAAAGCCCATTAATTCCACTCTTATCTTATTAATCTCTAGTTTAAAATCAAATTTGTCCACTCTTGATCATGCAAAAAAAGGTTTATCGTTTTCGCAATTCAAAATGGTGATTGGAAGCCAATTTTCTTGAGTAGGAATGGGTCTTCGATTTCACATCTATTTTTTGCAAATGATCTTATATTGTATGTTGAGATTGATTCGAGGCAGCTAAAGGTAATTATGAAGGTGCTTCACAAGTTCTGCTATGCTTCGGGACAAAAAAATCAATGTAGCAAAAATGAGAATTTTTTGCAGTAATAATATCCCAAAGAGCAAAGCGAGATTGCTCAACAAAAACTCTAGATTTTGATTAACGGATGACCCAAAATGGTATATTGGGATTCCTTTGTATAATACTAGAGTTAACAAAAAGACTTATGGCTTTGTGATTGATAAAATTGCTAAAAGATTGTCCGGCTAGTAAGCCAAGCATCTTTCTCTTACGAGTCAAGTAACACTAACTCATTCAGTCTTGTCGACTATTCCGATGTATAGTATAAAGTCCATCAAATGACCATCTTGCATGATGACTTCGTTGATAGACTTTGTTATGATTTTGTGTGGTGCGGCTTTGGTTCTCAACATAAAATACACTTGGTTTCTTAGGAAAACATTTATAGATCGAAGAGGCTAGTGGGCCTAGGTTTGAAATTTAAACAAGGTTAATGATACTTTGTTAATGAAGATCGATTGGAATATTTTGTCAAATAAGATCGCTTAGTGGGTTCGGATCTTATACAACAAGTATAAATTCTCAAACATTAGTCTTCCTAACTCGGTTCAAAGACATGGTGCATCTAATCTATGGCAAAGCATTAGTTGAATATGGAGCCATGTTTGTGAGGGTGTTTGTTGGTCTATTGGGGATAGCAATAAGGTGAGGTTCCGGAAGGATAAATGGGTGTCGAGCCTTCGTCTTTTGCAAGAATTGAATATCGCTCCAATGCTCGAAGTCTCATTAAATGATAAAGTGAACCGAGTATGTCTCAAATGAGGGAGCTCGATTGTGAAAAAAAAATTATGCATCAATTTTCATCATTCATTGTTTTGAGAATTATAGGATCACTTCCACCCCGACTTAACTATGGGGAAGATATTTCTTGTTCAGCTTACACTAGTGATGGCATTTTTTTTCACCAACTCTACTTATTCGGCTAGTTCTTCTTTAAGCATTAACAAAAATTCTAGATTTTGGGATCCGATTTGGAGATGGATAGGCCCCTAAAGAATATGTAGCTTTCTATGGCTAGCTGTATGGGATTTTCTACTCACCAATGCTCAAAGACAACATCACCGTTTAAGCATAATCGGCTCCTACTCGGTATGTATTTATGTTCCCGCCCAAAGAATCCGTAACTTTTTATGGCTAGTTGTACGAGATTGTCTACTCACCAATGCTCAAAGACAACGTCGCCATTTAAGCTTAGTCAACTCTTGCTCGATATGTATTTCTATTCCCGAAACTACTTTGCATGTTCTTCATGACTCGTTATTTTGCTCGGTGAATATGGAAAAAATGTGGAACGGATCAAAAAGTTCAGCTTTTCTTTCAGTTGGGTTAAGGGATTGGTTTGAGATCAACCTTAACTATACCGAGAATCTTCCTATGGGTGTGGTTCCATGGAGTACTTGGTTCGAGACTTACTCGTTGGTTCTTGTGGTCATGGCAAAATAAAAAATTATTTGATGATATGTTTGTGATGCCTAATAGTTCGATAAATACTATTTTTCATTTTATTTCATCTATAATGAATAGTGTGTCAATGGTTGCTAATTTGAGCAAAACACTTCGGTTTTGACAGGAAAAATTGATTAGTAGGAAATTTCCAACAAAGGGATGGGTGAAATTAAACACAAATGGGGCAATCGAGTTTGAATTCGGGAAGCTTCGCATTAGTTGGGGTCCTAAGGGATTCCAATGGTTGCTGGTTGAATGGTGTTTTTCCATAATATTGGATTGTGTTTTATTCTTTATACTTGAGTCATGAGGTATCTTTATTGGTTTAAAGATGGCTTAGAACACGGATTATCGTCGAGTGTTTGCCGAGACAAACTCTTTGTTGGTCATTCGGGTAATTCAATCACACAAGGAGGATTAGCACTTATGGTTCTCTTATTATCGTGATTAAGGCGATTCTGGACAAAGATTGACAAGTACAACTCACTTATATTCATAGAGAAGCAAATAGCTAATATCTTTTGTTTTTTCCTTATTCTTTGGTGTCACGTATTTTTCTTATGTAATGAGTGACTATGCCAAACCCCTTCGTAAGGAAATATGTGAAATAACTTTTTTAAGATTATGTAATAATTAATTCTCTGTATGGCTCTCCTTTTGATAAAAGAAAAAAAAAGTTTGTCTTTTGGACTGTTTTCACTAATTTCATTGCATGAACTAACCTATCATTACAAAAAGAGGAACAAAATTGCTAAAAGTAGTAGGAAAGAAAGACTCCTTATGCACACCTTGAAGAGTACGTATGTTTAATAACTTGTCCAAGATTCTTTAATAATTAATTCTTTTTCTAAAGCTACGGCTCTTCTTTTGATAAAAAATAAAAAAAAGCTTGTCTTCTGGACTGTTTTACCTAATGTCATTGCATGAGCTAACCTATCATTACAAAAAAGGGAACAAAATGCTAAAAGTAACAGGGAAGAAAGACTCTTCAACTACCAACTACCAAGCAAGGCAGTTGCTGCCTGTAGACTGTCGTCAATGTAGACTACGTCTGCATCACGGCATATCCTTGTGGAGTGGCATCATGTGCGGAGTGATTAATGTTAATATCTATCTATCTTTTTAGCAGGAAATCACAAAGCATGCTTACTGATCATATCCCTTTTTTGACTACGTTGATTCTGAGAATTTAGACTTGAGAGCAAGTTTAAATTGGTTTAAGTCACTAGTTATCAATTTTATTATAAAAAAAATTAAGGATTAGTTTGGTGGTTAAGAAGATTTGTTCATTTTCTTGATTTTTTTTTCAAATTAGTCTAGAAATTTTAATTAAATTCTTTTAAATGTACTAAATTGATACAAAGATTGTGACTTTATCATTATTGGGAAAAAAATTAATCTCAATTTATGTACAAATGTATTTGAGAAATAAAACGATAAAAAAAAAGTTGTTTTTACATGTTTTTTAGTGCTACTATATATAAATATAATAATAAAAATAGAGAAATTATGCTATTGAAACAAGATTTAATTAAATTGATAACTTGAGAATGGCTTTTTTCCTATTGAAATTTATAAATGAAATTCAGATACTGCATCACTTTATTAGTTACAAATATATTTATGATAACAATTTTTAAATCAATTTCATTTGGACAAATTATTGAATGTTAGATATAAATTATTTTAAAACAAAAAGTACTTTATAAGCTTTAATTATGACCTATTGAAAAAAACATAAATTATATATATATATATATATATAACGACAGGGAACAATTTGCCTTCGTTTTAATCTTTATTGTAAAAATTAATTATTTAATTTATTAATTGATACTATTAATGCTTAATTTAATATTATTTTATTGTATAAAATGTTATATTCTCGTACTTACTTTTTTCTTTTCTATTCTTAAACTAAAAAATCAAAATAAATTGAAAAATTACAAATATATATATATATATATATGTGTGTGTATTCTACTAGCAACATTAATGGAGGAAATGTTTTGAGAAATTTCACGTATGAGCAAAACAATACTTCAATTATAAAAATAGAGAAATTATGCTATTGAAACAAGATTTAATTAAATTGATAACTCGAGAATAGCGTTTTTCCTATATATTGGATTTTATAAATGAAATTCAGATACTGCATCACTTTATTAGTTACAAATATATTTATGATAACAATTTTTAAAATCAATTTCATTTCGGCAAATTGTTGAATATTAGGTATAAATTATTTAAAAACAAAAAGTACTTTATAAGCTTTAATTATGACCTATTTTCATTTGGAAAAATTATTGAATATTAGATTTAAACATAAAATTATATATATATATATAACAACAGACAAGAATTTGTCTTCGTTTTAATCTTTATTTTAAAAATTAATTTATTAATTTATTAATTGATGCTAGCAATGCTTAATTTAATTTAATTTTATTGTATAAAATGTCATATTCTCTCACAATCCTTTCATATTCTCTTACTTTTTTTTCGTTTCTATTCTTAAACGAAAAAATTAAAATAAATTGAAAAATTTCAAAAAGAAATATATAATTTTTAAAACGAATAAAAATAATATACGTATTCTACTACCAAAATTAATGGAGGAAATGTTTTGAGAAATTTCACGTATGAGCAAAAGAGTGCTTCAATTATAAATTAAGCCGTCAGCGTGGGGAATGCGATACAGGTTTCAAATACAAATCATTATTGACGACACATTGCAAACACATCACATGTATTTTGACCATCTTTTTCATAAAATGTAACCATCAATGAAACTATTTATCTGCAATTAGAATCCGATAGAGTTTTCAGACTTGAATACCTATTTGAATCAGAGGCTGTCCAGATCAATTCTAAAAAGATATTTATTTGTTTGTTTTTTGTATATATATAAATTAAATCTATTAATTAGATTTGCATGATATTGTAGCGTTTGGTCCACGTCCTAAATTATTTATGAGATTTGCATGATTCAATCAAAACGTGAAGCTTCCTGGTAATAACAATCAGCAAACTTCTCCTCTCTTCGAAGTGATGCATAGGGCCTACCCACGTACGTACTGTTCTAAACTCCTCCATTGAAGGTTTTTGGAAAATCTTATAAATAACACATGCATTTTTCCATTCAAGCTTAAACCAAGAAAACTAGCTAGCTAGAATCAGCTCATCAACCATAGGTAGAAGACAAGATGATCAGGGAAAAGCACCCTTCTAAACCTGCTCTATCTTTCTTGTTCTTTCTTTCTTTGAAGATCTTCTTAGAAATGGGAGTAGCCCAAAACACAAAATCTACAATATTCCCAGTGAATGTAGGTCTGGTTCTTGACTTGGATGCCGATGTTTCATTGAGCTGCATCAACATGGCCCTTTCAGACTTCTATGCTGCGCATGGTGACTACAAAACCAGACTGGTCCTCACCACCAGGGACTCCAAGAAAGATGTTGTTGGTGCAGCTGCTGCAGGTTCCCTCTCTGCCCCCCTCTTAATTATGAATCATTTTCTTATCAATTTTTACAGAGAATTCTTAACGGTAGTTTGATCATTGAAATCTAGGCAATTGACACAATATGATCATGAGAAGATACTGCTGCGTGCTTCTTCTTTTTCAACGATAAGGGTGTTCTTAAACACGTTTTTACGCATCTAGCTAGACAAACTCTCTTTCTAATCGTTTTTTAAGTAACTCATTCACATTCGAACCGGTGTATTTACTAGAAATTTCTTTCTTAACCTTTCGTAACATGAGAAGCAAACCCTGAGTCAATACCTTAAGACCAGAGTGGATACTTTTTGTCTAAACCTTCTGTGGTAATGAAAGGACTACTTGTTTTCACTGTGCTGGCAATGATAAGGAGAGTAAAAACACAGAAAAGTAATTGTGGCTATCTTGCTTTCAAAAACTCACCATTAATTTGTGAGCTGTACTCTCTAGTTTGTGTCAGATATTGTAGACTGTACATTTTGCACCATAGAATTGGTCTCCTTAGTATGCTTCAAGTGCCGCTATCTTCATATAGTAGATCATTTGACTTCAGAACTATTAAAATACAAGGAAAAAACTTTCTGCAGAACTTGTATTTTAAATTAATTCTGAAAGTTGTTAACAAATATTTATAGATTTGACAAAAAACATTAATATAAAAGTAACCAAGATTATTGGCCGGCTTCTGATGAAAACGACAGCTAGTCTTACACATACTTGTTCCTTTAATATAGTTTTTTCTCAAGTTAAAACAAAAGTTTAAATTGATAAAATCGTTTGCCTCTAATATAGCTAGAGAGGTATGGATAGGTAGACAAGAAAAATACATGTGTTAATTTTATGCTGTCATGTCAGTTCTAGCTTTATGTAAGGGCGCAGAGGAAAAGAGAAGAGCTCACAAACCTAAAACATGACTGTGGAATGATCATCCTATAAGAAAGTGCGATCCTATTCTTGCACTTTCTCTGCTGCACAACTCAGGTTCATGTAACAAGTCTTTAATTTTTTATTTCCCCTTTCGAAACGCAGCCCTGGACTTGATTAAAAATATGGAAGTGCAAGCAATATTGGGGCCAACGACATCAATGCAAGCCAATTTTGTTATTGACCTTGGAGAAAAAGCTCAGGTGCCAATAATATCGTTTTCTGCAACGAGTCCTTCTCTTACTTCCATTAGGAGTTCCTATTTTTTCCGAGCTATGCATAATGACTCAACTCAAGTGAATGCCATAAGTGCATTGGTTCAAGCCTTTGGATGGAGAGAAGCAGTACCAATCTATATCGACAATGAATATGGAGAAGCAATCATACCTTATTTGACTGATGCTTTGCAAGCAGTTGATGCTCGTGTCCCCTACCGGACTGTCATTTCGTCATCAGCTACTGATGATCAAATTGTTGAGGAGCTTTATAAGTTGATGACGATGCAAACTAGAGTTTTCATTGTGCACATGTATCGGTCTCTAGGAACTCGGCTTTTCGCCAAAGCTGAAGAGATTGGAATGATGAGTGAAGGATATGTTTGGCTCATGACTGATGGTCTGACTACTGATTTCTTGACTTCACCAAATCCTCCTGTCATTGATACAATACAAGGGGTATTGGGTATTAAACCTTATGTTCCAAGAACAAAAGAGCTTGAAAGTTTTCGAGTTCGGTGGAAAAGGAAATTCCTACGAGATAATCCAAATCACATTGATGCTGATTTGAACATTGATGGACTATGGGCCTATGATGCTACTACAGCATTGGCCATGGCAGTTGAGAAAGCTGGAACTACAAATTTTGGCTTCCAAAAGGCAAATGTTTCTAGCAATTCATCCACGGATCTTGCAACTCTTGGTATCTCTTTAAATGGTCCACACCTTCTTGAAGCTATATCGAACACTAGTTTCAAAGGCCTTACAGGAGATTACCATTTTGTTGATGGGCAGTTGCCATCACCAGCATTCCAGATAGTTAATGTGAATGGAAATGGAGGAAGAGAGATTGGATTTTGGACATCAACAGAAGGAATTGTAAGAAAATTGAATCCTAGAATAAACAAACTTAGGAATTCAACCTCTGCGTCCGGTATCTCAACTGTAATTTTTCCAGGGGATACAACTTTTGTTCCCAAGGGTTGGGAGACTCCCACAAATGAGAAGAAGTTGAAAATAGGAGTGCCAGTGAAGGATGGCTTCATTGAGTTTGTGGCAGTGACAAAAGATCCTAGTTCCAACACCACAAAATTCACTGGATACTGCATAGATGTTTTTGACGCTGTAGTCAAAGCATTGCCTTATGCTTTGCCTTATGAGTACATCCCCTTTGCCAAGCCTGACGGCAAGGCTGCTGGAACTTCCAACGATCTGGTCTATCAAGTGTACTCAAAGGTAAAACTTAATTCTATCTTTTGCTGAGTGTTTTTTATATTGCACTGAATGCCATACACATTAATGCAAGTATGTTTGTTTCTTTCGCAATTAATTTTGCTTACTTTCAACAGAATTACGATGCTGTGGTTGGAGACGTGACCGTTATCTTCAACAGGTCGACTATACATTGCCTTTCACAGAAAGTGGTGTCTCCATGATTGTTCCTATTGCAGACAAGAACAGCAAAAATGCATGGGTCTTCATGAAACCTTTGACATGGGACCTTTGGGTGAGCAGTTTTTGTTTCTTTGTTTTCATTGGATTTGTTGTCTGGGTTCTTGAGCACAGAGTAAATGAAGATTTTCGAGGGTCTGCTTCAGATCAGGCCGGCACTAGCTTCTGGTTTTCCTTCTCGACAATGGTTTTTGCACAACGTAATCTCCCTTCTCCTGTTGCACTTTATTTTTTTTTCAAACTCACACACCCAATACTCCTAACAGAATTGGTCTGCTAGGATTTGAACCTGTGAGCTCTGGTTGGAAGAGACCACTACCACTACACTATATAGCACTCCAATATAAATGAACACCAAATGACTTTATGTTTATATTTACAGGGGAGAGAGTGGTTAGCAACTTGTCTAGAGCAGTGATAATCATATGGTGTTTCGTTGTGTTGATTCTCACGCAGAGCTACACCGCCAGTTTAACGAGCCTACTCACCGTCCAGCAGCTGCAGCCTACAGTTACTGATGTACAAGAGCTCATTAAGAATGGAGAGTATGTTGGCTACCTGAAGGGTTCTTTTGTTCTAGGAATCTTGCTAGGCTTGGGGTTCGACAAGTCCAAGCTCGTGGAGTATAATTCTCCAGAAGAATGCCACAATCTTTTCTCCAAAGGAAGTAGAAATGGTGGTATTGCTGCTGCTTTGGACGAAGTGCCATATATGAAGCTCTTTCTGTCAAGATATCGCTCCAAATATACCATGATTGATCCTACATTTAAAACCGGCGGTTTTGGCTTTGTGAGTTCACTTTCCCATCTTGCTATTTCCATTTCCTCTATGGCTAATAGGAGCATAGTTTCTCATGTATCCTTTCTTTTTGTGACTTCAGGTCTTCCCTAAAGGTTCTCCTCTAGTGCTGATATATCGAGGGCAATATTAAATGTAACCGAGGGGGAGAAAATGAAGCAAATAGAGGATGCATGGTTTGGCAAGAAAAGCAGTTTTCCAGATTCCAGCACCTCAGTTTCATCTGATAGCCTGAGTCTCGATAGTTTCTTGGGATTATTTTTGATTGCCGGACTAGCTGCATTTTCAGCTCTTATTATCTTTGTAGTCATGTTTGTTTACCGAGAAAGGAGAGCCTTGAGGCCCTCTGATTCCACAGCTTCAATATGGAGTAGAATTAAAAATTTCTTTACAATTTTCAATCAAAGGGACATGACATCCCGTACTTTCAGACAGAGTGAACGGAATGATAGAAATGGCATCAGTCTGCCTACTACGAGCGTGCCAAGTCCATCATCATTTTCAGTTCACACAGAATTTCCTGCCGGTCCATCTTCTGCAGGTTATGATTTTAGTCCCAGAATGCAAGCGCGTCAAGAGGTAGTAATAGATATTGATCAGCTCACCGACCGAAATCAAGAGAGGTAGTAATAGGTTATCGTTTGACACTAATGACACCAGTAGTAGCGATTAGCATTGTAAGGAAATTGAATAACTGTATTGCATATACATAGAAGTTAGATGATTCTATTTGGATGTAGGTAGGTTTAAACAGAGATTCAGAACATCCCGCATTACCTTCCGTAACTTCTTATTTGTGGAGACTTCTCTGCCATTTCTTTCGAATCCTAACTTAACAAGAACCCAGAGATTGCCTAATCTTTAAAGGAAAAACGTTAAAATGATCTGGGAGAAGGGAAAGAATAATGGCATGGATCTATACAACTTCTATTGAGACACTAGTGGCTGCAAAGCACATGTTACATTGGTTACAAAACTTTCCTAGCATTTTTTGTACACAAATTTACAGCAGACATCATGATAAATATTGTTCCAAGCACACTTTTATTTTTTGACAAGTCACAGGCTTTGAAACAAATGAATCCATACCATTTGCATAACATTCCTCTGCACTCTCTGATAATGCATTTGCTGTCATCTGCATTCACCAACTGAATCTGTTAGTATATGCAGACGGATTTAAGAGTGATGAAATAAGGACAAGTTTCGGTTGTTCAGCATAACTCAGCGGGTATAGAAACCAAGCAACATTGCCATGTTTTGATGAATAACAATTAAAAGGCGACTAATAATACTCAGGGTAGTAAGATTACAAGTGAATCTGTAGACCAAATGGGTATCAAACTTTTAAGGGCTATAAAGAGTGAAGTGCTTACCGCAATTATAGGAATCCGCTTATCATAACGAACCGAAATCTGGCCGTCTTGTAATGAAGCTGAAGATGGTGCGCATGGCTCTATTCCAGCTTTACTAGCAGCATCCCAATTGCCAGTTTCTTCAAAAGAACGAATCAATTGTGTAGCTTGAAGGCCATTCATAACCGGCATGCAGACGTCCTGCAGAATTAGTATGATACATGGTCACTAAAACTTTAAGAATCCAAATGTGCAGCATAATCGAAATCACATTCACACCTAAAATCATGAGAAGAAGCATTAACAAAGAAAAGGCAGCAGTAGAAATGGTTTGAATCTAGAAATTACCATCAAAATGAGATCGTAAAAACAGGACTGAACTGCACGGACAGCTTCAGCTCCGTTATTCACGACATCCATGGTATGGCCTAACTGCTTCATCATTGATTTCGTCACCATTACATTGATCTTGTTATCTTCTACTAGAAGGATCTTAGGCTTTGGTTTTGATTCTGGTTCTTGTGGAATGCTGCTAGAAGTGCACTGAGAACTTACGCCAGATTTCTCTTGTTCCTGACACGACCCTGGCGATTCACCTGTGTTTGCCCTTATGCCCAGTTCTTTGCTTGATTCTGTGTGATAACTGCAGTTTGTAGTACCATTTGGAATTTTACTTTTTGTGTCATCTTGAAATTGTTTGCTTCTGCAAACTACATTATAGTTGCCGCATTCGGGGCTGTGACTAAATGAGCTTTCAGGTTCAGATAATGTCTCACCAACTTCCACCATAGAACATGCATCCTCAATGGAAGTTGTCTCTTTCAATCTACCGTTACCAGAAGGAAATGAGTAAGAATCCTCAGAGAATCCGTTAAGTTTAGGGGACTTAGTAAAACCAATACTGTGTGGCAATAATTTTTGAGTCCTGGTGGACCCATTAGAAGAGAATAGAGAGCCCAAAGTACGCGGTTGGAACTGAAAGAAGCCAGCAGTTTCATCCTCTAGGGGAGCATCATGATCAGCCATCTCTGATAGATCATCAGGATCATCAGAAGAATCACACTCTGATGATACTTTATACGGTAGCACAAATGTAAATGTAGATCCACATTTCACTTTGCTAGACACAGTGAGACGGCCTCCCATCAGCTCAACCTAAATGCGTAGAAATGTAAGAAGACAGTCTCAAAATCTGGAATTCACATGATGGTTTGTATCCCATCAATTTTAGTATTTAAGTTATCAAAGCATGTTTGTACCAAAATGTTTCTGAACACCAATCTCAGTTTATTACAGTCAAAGTGAAAATCAAAATAGCTTGCGTGGTAAGAAAATTCACCAGTTGTTTGCATATCGCAAGGCCAAGCCCTGTCCCGCCATATTTTCGAGCATGATCCGCACTAACTTGCATGTATTTTTTGAACAGAGTAGGTAACGCATTTTCTGTTACAAGAATGAGAAACGTAATGAGTGCTTTTACAATAGAAATGAACTTAGAATGTAATAGACGGCTGGAGTATCAATAAAAGAAGATAAGAGAGTATTCTCAATTCTTCGACTTGGTGTATAGTTTTCGAGTAGAGTCAAACCTATTGATAATATACCTGGGATTCCGATTCCGGTGTCATAAACATCACAGCAAAGCCACACAATTGTTCCAGGTACTTCAGGTTCCTCCACTTCATCTCCATCCATTGTGTTTCCATTCTTAACTGGGGTTTGAGGTTCATCACTAGGCATATGATTTGGATATGGACCGTCACTGTATTTTTTGCTGTGGAAACTTTTTTGATCACTGTTACTTTGAGACGACAACTTAGGCTTATCTTCTTTTAGCTCATTTGTGGCTGACTGATCTGCAGATGACTTCTGATTGTTTCCTTCACCCTTTCCATAACATGGATCCGATACGACGTAAAGGTTTATCCCTACTTTCCCTTCATGAGTAAACTTGATTGCATTGCTGATCAAGTTGGTGAGGATTTGCCGGATCCTAAGAACATCTCCAGTGATCTGAAATTAATGCATAATGTCTTCAATAAAGTAACTAGTGTTGCCTTCAGAAAGAGCTAAATGGCACAAAAAGATTGATGTTTGCAAATTCAATAGAAAAAATATATATATTCATGGGCAAAGCTGCAACTAAAATTTCTCTTAAATTTAGTCTATCCGCATTGGTTATGAAACTTTTACCTCGATGGGGACATCATCAGCCACACGTCCTTCCAAGGTCAGAATCTTTTGTAATGATGCAGCAGCAGTCTGCAGTACATGTTTTACTACTTCTCTTGGTCGGAATTTTGTAGCTTCCAACTTCATAACACCCGACTCAACCTTGGAAAGGTCGAGTATATCGTTTATAAGTTGAAGAACCAAATCCCCTGACGATATCATGACATTCAATAATTGTCTTTGCTCGCGATCAAGTTTTGTGGTGGAAAGAATGTCAGCCATGCTAACAACTCCAGAAAGAGGAGATCTTATTTCATGAGACATGGTTGCTAGCATTTGTTTTGCACGCATTGTTTCCTCTGCGAAAAGTACAAAGAGACAACATTAGACTCAACTTTTCTTCCACAGAAGTCACCACCATACATGTTTTCGACGAACAAACAAACCTGTTATGTGGATTGTTTTGTTGAGTTCTGTTTCCTTGGCTTTCTGCACTGCTATCTCTTCCCGAAGCTTTGCCATTTTCTCTCTTTTCCTTACCTGTTGTGCCATCAGGAACATAAATGTCCATTCTTTTCCAAGATAATGAAGATCCTAAATAACCATGAAAAAGAATGATTTACCTGATCAGTGACATCCATTCCCATGTAGTTTATACCTATTGTCTCCCCCGACTTGCTGAAAACTGGCTCTACATAAATCAAAAATGTCTTTAAGCCAAATAAATCTGTCTCAAATGTGATTTCCCTCTTTGCAGGCAATCCTTTATCCAAAACTTCTTTCTTGAAATCTTGAGATTCCTTCACTCCTGCCCCTGAAAAGATTTCGACATCTGTTTTTCCTATAATTTCCTGAAAATGAAATGGACAATATAGATAGGTAAATCAGTGCCACTCGAGCTAGCTAATATTTCGTTGAAGAAGAAACAGGGAGAAGAACAACGAAATGGAAACAAAAAGCCTGCCTCGATCACAGCTTCTTACCTCCTCTTGCAAACGCGGAAAATGATTATAGATAAAGCGATATCTTAAATCTTTATCCTGAAAGAAGAAATTGTCAACAAATCAGACCTTCTAGCTAGAAACTGGCCACAGGCAGGCAGAAAGAATAGGATTATATCATTTTTACTCATAATACCTGATGGCCTATAACAACAGGAGCATTTTGAAGTACAAAATGTAAGAAATTATCAGCCCTTTTCAGAATCTGTGTCAACTCTTCAATTGGTGAGGATTGCTTTTCCAAATTTTGTAAGCTATCCTGCAACTTCTCCATCAGTAACTGCTCTCTGTGAACACTGGCCTCCAACAATTTCTCTAAATGTGCTGCTCGCTGTTTCCAGTAGGCAATAGTATCGAATTCAGCATCTATGTCTACTCTCTTGCTTTGAACAATGATATCTCTTTTTCTCCTGGGGATGTCTTGATATATATCGATTATTTCATCCAATATAGAAATCTGTCGTTTATCACCACTGTATCGTTCTTCCTCAAACCGAAAATCCTCCAATATCTCCAATTTCTTGAGCTCAACTTCCTCTCTTTGTTTGCTTAAGATGTCAAGCTCTTCTCTGAGAAGGCGGACTGCATTTGCCTGTTTATACTCCCAATGTTGTACAAGATGTGACAACTGAGAAGAGCCCCTATCAGTGTAATTCGTCAGCTCGACAAGATGGTGGAAATCAACTATAGTGGGCTCTTCAGCTATTGTAACCTCCTCTAACATGTCTTGATCCCCAACCGGCTTCTCTACATATGGCTTTGAACTATCAATATCTTCAGGCCACATTGAAGAGAGGGCTTCAATGTCCATGTCCTCCATTTGTTCGTTCTCCATTTCGCAGACCATTAAATTACTTACACTTCTACCATGAAAAGGCTACTGAATCGAGCTTCTTGCGCAACTCTAAGCATCAGAACCAATGAAAAACTTCAACCTTCTTAGACCCTTTACTTGAATAAGAAAATCTTCAAAGGACAGTTGTAGAAAGCCAAAACCATTCAATGTCATGCACTTTATTTTCACATGAAAATTTGAATTCCTATTGGACCTACAGAACAAAATGAATTACAGGTGAAAAATCACATCCTACACTTCAGG